CTATGTCGACGGTGCCTATGATGGTGCCTGGCACATATTAAGTGCTCAATAAACATTAGCTTAGACTATACTAAGCTTGGTGTGACACAGGTTGGGGTCTCTGAAAAGCAGACTGAGACAAATTTTAGTGTGCAGGATGTTTACTAGGGAGTACCCTTGGTATGAACACCTATGGAAGGGAGGGAAAGGAAGCAGGATAGGGGAGAAGGAGCAGTCACACTGTAATACAGGTCCTACAGCCTCAGCCAACCCCACAGGAAAGCTTGAGTGCAAATGGACCATCTGAGTTACACTGTGTTGGGCTGAGAAGGCAGAGCCTTTATATTCCTTCCATCAGTCATTGCAAGTGGCTCTCTGCAGCTGAGGCAATCCATGAGGCGAATGACAGTGAAGACTGTCCACTGACTGCACTCCCAGCAGCTGGCGCAACCAATTCTTCCTTGTAAGGGATCTAGGTGGCACACCTTCTTTGTTCAACACAGGCTGGTCTGTGCAGCATTTGAAAAATAATATCAAATTACAGATGCATGAATAAAAGTGAGGTCTTTAAGGACAAGAGCAGGGAGGTAGAGCTACCCTGAATAAGCCATTAGAATGGGAGAAAGAACTATATATGGATGATGGAAAGCTTTCTTGTTTTTAAATATTTTTTTTTTATATTTTTTTATTGATTTCAGAGAAAGGAAGGGAGAGGGAGAGAGAGATAGAAACATCAATCATGAGAGAGTCATCATCAATTGGCTGCCTCCTGCAAGCCCCCAACTGGGGATCAAGCCCGCAACCCAGGCATGTGCCCTGACTGGGAATCAAACTGTGATCTCCTGGATCCTAGGTCGATGCTCAACCTCTGAGCCACACTGGCCCGGCAGCTTTCTTGTTTTTAATCCCCCAGATTTTTGGAGAGCTTGGATTCTAATACCTGGAAGCCCTTTGTTTAATGAACACTGTGATGGGTTGGGGTTTGTACTGGAGGTGTAACCTGGGAGAAAGCCCACGTATTCTGCATAAGGGTCACCTGGGAGGGTGGAAATAGAAGCCAGCCACAGTTGATGCCCTTCAGAAGGTGCGAGATTACTAAGAATTTAGGGGAGCAAAAATGGCTAACATTGCACCTTGGATGTGCCTGGCACTAAGTGCTTTGCACGTATTACCTGGCTTAATCCTCACAATACTCCAAGATAGTAGTTACCCTGATTTCCCCCCGTTTTAGAGATGAGGAAACTGAGAGAAGCTAAGTAGGTGCCAGCGTCATTCAGCGAGAAGGGTGTGGAGCTGGGATTGGGACTCAGGCAGGCAGGCTCCAGGCTGTAGGGCCGGTGCTCTTAATCTCTCTCTTCCCTCTGTCCCTGTGAAACTGCCGATGCTTTTGATGCAAAGGGCCTCTATCTCAGGAATTCAGAGAGGTGTCATTTTGCATCAAGGCTGAGAGAGGGCAAAAACACAGGCTGTGTGATATGCAGGGAAAGCCGACACCCCGCTTGTTTGCATGGAGGTATTTTGAAAAAGATGAACTGTGAGCCAACACTGCAAGCCTTTCATTACAAAAGCATGACACCATTGTGAGCAAATATGAGTCAACAAACAGGTAGGACTGTGTGATAACTGTGTGATGACTGTCTCACTCTACTTGAACTTCTTCAGACCCTTGGCGTGTGCAATCCTGGATTCCACAAAGCTGAGCAGGGAGGGGAGAAAAGGGTTTGAAGGGGAGCCATGGATGGGAATCTGCAGGTTGGAAAAGTGCTCCAGTCTATATGGAGCCCAAAGAGATTGGGGGGAAATACCGCATGTGGGGTTCTATATGCAGTGACCAGGATAGATGTTTTAAGGCCAGATTGCCTGGGTTCACATCTCTGCTTCACCACTTGCTACTTGGGTGTGTTTTTTTAATTTGAGGGGAAAAAAATTATTTTTAGAGCAAGGGAGGCAGAGACATTGATCAGTTTCCTCCTGCACATGTCCCAACCGGAGATGGAACCCTGCCACCTGCGTATGTGCCCCAAGCAGGAATCGAACCCACAACATTTTTGGTGCACGGGACAATGCTCCAACCAAATGAGCCACACCGGCCAGGGCACTACTTGGGTGTTCTTGAGTGTCACTTTATACCTTTCTGTGCTTCAGTCTCCTGTCTATTAAATTGGGATAACAGTACCATTCACAGGGTTATTGTGAGAAATCCGTTAATACATGTAAAACACTTGGAACAGCTTTAATAAGCCCTCGATAAGTAGCTAACAAAATATAGAAAAGTGTGAAGGCAACTAAATATATATTCTAATATAAAGGTCTTTATATAGCTCTTCTCCATCTTCATTGTACAAAAAATAAGAGGAAGCCCATTTAAACTATGAGATTGAGAATACATAAAAAATGTTTGCCCATCAAGAAATGCATATGACTGTTGTGGGTGAATGTTATTTCCGTTACCTTTAATTTAATTGATTTAAAAAAAAATGAATTAAGCAGTTTAGCACCACATTATATTTAGGTCTTCATATATTTGAAAATGTATTCAGTTGTCCCTTAACCGTCTCTACTTATTCTTTGGCCTGACCACAGCAGGCTGCCATCCCCACCCCTGGACCCTGTTGAAGGGGTGACCTAGGCAAGTATGTTTAGTCGTGTATTTTTTTCAGGGATCACCCAATCAGATTCACCTCCTTGGTGTGGTTAAGTCACAAAGGGGAAGTGGCTAAGGCACAATGAACCGGAAGGCGAGGCAGAGGGAATGGCTGCTGAGGTCTCCGTCCGGAAAAGCCTTCACAGTTCCTGTGCTTTCCTGCCTTGGGGTCTGAGGCATATATCCTACCACACCCACCCCATTCCTCCTTTTCTCTTTTGCTGGTTAAACAGGGTTTTTATTTATAATCAAACAATCCTTGACTAAATACATGACTATCTCTACTTCAAACTCCTCCAAGCCAACAGGAAGACATGCAGATAGAATTCAGTGTACCACTGTGTGCTTAGTATTTTTGGAAGAAAAGATACAGGAGCTAAGTTGATTTTTAGCAATACAACACTTTGAAGAGTCCTCTGTGAAATAGTTTCCCGGTGACACCGCATTCAATGACCAAACCGTGTGAATTCCACTCCTCAAATCTCTCATCCGTCTTCCCTCCACACCCTCTCTTACCTGAACCACAGTATCTTAAGGCAAGATGGGGAGCTGTAAGGAAACGTGCCGGCTCATTTAAGGAAATTAGAATTCCAAATCTCACTGTGGAAAGACCTCAGGGCCTTCTAGTTTTGTCTAACACTCCCCTTCCCCTTGGGGACCCCTCACTTAGGACCCTTGCTTCACCCGAAAAGGGCAAGTTTCCTTGCACCAACCACTGGGACTGGTTCCCTTTGTCTTCAGTTCCTCACAGCACCACTGAATCCAGGGTGAAATGACTATATAAAGCTTTAGAAAAAAGGCTCAGGAGTAACAGAAAAAAAGCAAATAAAACACTGTGAAAGATACAACTTACCCATTCTAGCTAACTAGGTAGGGAGTGCAATTGTTATTCACCCAATATTGCGCACTCTTGCCCCAGCTGGCGTGTATTTGAGGGCTCTGCGATTATCACCATGCCCGAGTCGGCGACATGCCTGCTCTCCAGGGGCCTAAGGTAGCGGGGGTGTGCTAACTGCTGCACCAACGGTGACAGAATGAGTGAGGGCACAGAGACAAGGCAGCGGACCAGTATGTAGGGGAAGGGAATTCAGGAAGGTTTCAGTGAAGTTGTCTTAAAAATAAAAACTAAGGCCTTAAGAAACAAATATGAATCAGCAGAGCAAGAAATTGGGATAAAGGGAGAGGGCAAGAAATGAAGTATTCCAGAAGGTTCCAAGCATGTGCAAAAGGGAAGAGTGCAATGTGCACATGGTAAGGGGTTTCTCCTTGTTTATGCTTAGGTGACAGGGTGTATTTTTCTTACCATCCAGAAGCGTCCACAAGCACCCAGGACTCCTCTGAATCTTGGCCAGAGAGAGACAGGGATTCAAATTCAGCAGGAGTTTCCTCTTTTTCCATCAATGGCAGCTTGCTCAGTTTGGTTTCCAACTCAGGACTGGTGTCTTCAATGCCAGTAGGATCGGTAAGGTTTTGCTTTATGGCCTTGATAGGGACAGTATGGCAGAGTAGTCCATTATCTTTATGCATTCAGTGACAAACGCTTCCTGACCCTGCCAACCTGACGGCCAAAACTTTCCAAAGACGTGAGATTACATGGAAACTGGGTTTCGTCTTTAGTTTAGGCAGGAACTATGCAAACCCTTTCTGTTACAGTTCTCACAGAATGAAAATCAGGTTTACTTATCTTTGTTTTGAATATTGGAGGTTTAGAAAACTTCCTTACATAGAAGGAAGTCATTAAAAGGGAAGCAAAATAAGTTTCGAGAAATTTGTATGACCAGTACTGTACTATGGTTTTCCCTGGGCCAATGTTGTCACCCCAAGTCACAGTGTGACTAATTCCTAGACACCCTAGTGCCTATTTTCAAGCTGATGACTTATTAAATTTTCCCTTACAAAAGGATTATAACAACATAAGCAGAAAATAGAATACTTTAGGCAGCAATGATCTAAAACAAAGCTGTTCTTGAGCATGCATTCCCATTGGGCAAAACTGGTTCTTGGGAGGTCAAAAAATTCTTACTCTTCATCTGTATAAAGCACAAAAATATATAGTCCATAAACAGATATACAGGATATGTGTGGTATTACAATTTCATGGGGGCTCTTTAGGGAGGTGAGAATGAAAAATCTGAGAAACACTGCTATGAATTCTTTTGTCAAGTCGGGAATACCTAAATTATTACATTTTAGTGATAATTCAAAATCCCGGGATAAAATAGAAAATCATGGTCACTCTACTTCTAACCAATGTACTTGTGAATGGATCCAATTTGGTAGCCTTTGTTTCTCCTAGGAGAAGTCACCGAAATTGTTCCAGTGTAAAGAAAATCTAGGATTAATAAAAAAGTTTATGAATCATTAAGTTTACAACACAGAGCGTACAAACCAAGTAAGTTTATTTAAGTTACTAAAATAGCTTTTAAAGTCATTTACAGATCAGCTGCTATAATTATTTTTCCAGAAAAGCAAAATTAATTATTTTTAAAATTATTTTGGTCAGTGAAACATTTAATAAAAACATTTGTTTCTCCATATAGTGTGTGTGTGTGTATATATATATAGGTATAAAATAAGCCTTTTCAAAAACTCTTGTTTTAGAATCCTCTAGAAATCAGATGATCTGACTTCTGACAAGAACAAATTACAATAAGGGGTATAAATTTATGAATACTGGTAGTCCCGACGGAAGAGAGCAGGTCACACTCTACTACCAGTCATGGGATTCTCAAAAGGTAAATCTTCAGTGAAGCCAATGGCTCTAGATTTCTAAAAACAGTATTCTGATTTAAAGGTTTATTGATAATTAAAAAAAAACACACAAGGTGGCTCTACAATTTTAAGATTCTAAGAAAACCAAAGCAGTTGATAGATGAGAAAGCTGTTATAGATGCAAAGTTACAACTGAAATCAGTAATGTACAGTAGTACATTTGAACATTCTTCACATATGGTACAGTTCACTTTCTTTTTGGCTTGAGGCACTCTTAAAATTTATCACCTGCATAGTAAATCTTTACATTTTGTTAAAAAGAATTTCACTAAAGGATTTTGACTGCAACAAGTGGACACGCAGAAAATTAAACCAGGAATGCTGGTTAACAAATGGTTTACCAATTTCTGAAATTATATTCTTTTCCTCCCTTCTCATAAACTGTATTTCTTAATTCAAAACAAAGCTTCAGGATATATCCAAAATAAATTGCTCTGGATTTACCTGCCCTTAGGAGTCAAATGAACCACTAACCGCACGATATCCACACTTCAAAATCTTTAGGTCTCTTAAAAGGTAAAAAAACAAATCCCAACAGAATGCACTGAGAATGGAGTTTAGATAACTATGTTTGACTAATTGAAGTCTCAGTGCTTATTTTAACATTTCCCCTTTAAGACTTTTTTTTCCCCTTTCCTCCTCCATTCCACAAATTCTCTTTTCCCTTGTTTCCTTCTCTCCACCCTCCACAAACAAAAAACAAAACTCAAATTTGACACACCAAGGTGACCTTTTATTACTTTTATCCCGATAAGCAGAAGCTGACTAAGGAACTCATGCCTAAATGATGTAAAAGGAACCAAAATGGGAAAACCCACAGTTCCATTTAGGGAGCTGCCATACTAATAACTCAAACTGTAAAAAGTCTACATTAAAAATCGGGAGGATTCGTAGGAAGGATTTTCTAGTCCTTCCCACTGGTCATACTATACCCATAATGACTCAGCCCAGAACTGCACAGAGTTCTTAGATATCAGTAACACAGGTCTCAATGGACACAGGGAAATGATTCTCTCAAATAACTTGTAACAGACTGAATAAATGATTTAGATATATCATGTTTACATAAGAACTTAACTTCCTTTAAAAAGAAACCAGTTCTTTCAAAAAGAGCTGTGATTCTGTCTCTGGTTAGAAAAGTCAGAACTTGAGACATGATTTCTCTTCTGACCCCTTATAAGCAGATACCCCTTTTCAGGGCGTGTTCGGGTTGTACAGGCAGGACTACGTGGGAAATACGGCTCCAGAGCCCACTCAGTTTGTCTGGGTCCATATGTTTGTAGGAGGTGGGTGTGTTAGAGTTGGTGAACTTGACTTTGAGGAAATCCCTCACTTTTTCTTCAATTTCCTTTAGGCCTAGACTGGGTCCAAGCGTCTCCTCCTCCAACAAGACAGTCAGGACTAAGGCTACATCTTTGAAGGCTGCATTTTCATGGTCACAATACTTGTAGAAGATCAAAGTGGCGCCTGCGGGCAGTGACTCGAAGCGGTGCACCACCGCTGCATTCTGGCCATTTCGGAATCCATTGCTCAGTTCTTGGTCCACCTCTAGCTTCACAGCATCACTGTCCTGAGTAGCTCTGCCCGTCCCATCAATCCGGATGGCACGGACACTACGGTAGGACGAATAAGCATCCGCGATTTGCTCACTCAGACACTTCAGTGCTTCTTCAGCATCGCGGGCAGCGGTGAGCAGCAGGATAGCAGGTTGAGGCCGAGGGTGGGAGCTATTGAGATGCTTTTCGAGGAATGTCAGGCTCCTTTTCCACAGCTTCTCATCTTGACCTTGGTACTTATTCATAAGTTGTTTCATCTGGTTCTGGAACTGTTGCACAGCAGTGGTTTCTACCACCTCAGGAGCACGTATGTACCACAAACACCCAACGGCACAAACAAGGAGCACAAATAGCCACTGCCACTTTAAAAAAGATGCATTTTGGGGTTGTTCAGTCATGTCTGCTCAGGAAAAAAAAATGACAGATACAAATATAATTTTCTTAGATTCAAGAGGAAATGACTTGTAAAACCAATATTAATCTTTATAAACATAACACAAAAGAGGAAGAAATTTTAAAAAGGGAGCTGATAATTTACTTTAATAATCTATTACACGTTTTCAAGAAAATCTCACACCCATAGGTTTTAAGTTCTGTGTATAAGCCTGCATATATCTCTTCAATACCAAAATGATAAAAAGTAAAATTTAAATGTATGAAATGGCATAAGCAAGTCAGAAATAATACAATTTATAAAGCAAAACTACTATTACTACTGCTAATATTGGGGAAGTAAACAATATTAAAAGACATTTTATAAAACATTTTTTAATTTAGGAACTCAGAGTTTACATGGCTAATGGCTAATTATTCAAGGTAGAATTTTTAAAAGTTTTTGAAGTGTATAAAAAGATAAGAAAAGGGTACTCTAAGTGAACACCTTGCATATATTTTGGCTAGCTGTCCATTTAATTGCACTGATGCAAATTAACACTGTTAAAATTTAGTTTGCAACTCATCCCTAATTATTACTGGCTATCATGACATCAATTTATTTGAGTGCTTTTCAGTTTATAAAGCACTCTCTTGCCTGGCCGGGCGTGGCTCAGCGGTTAAGCATCGACCTAGGATCCAGGCAATCAGGGTTCGATTCTCCGTCAGGGCACATGCCTGGGTTGCGGGCTGCAGCCGATCAATGACTCTCTCATCATTGATGTTTCTAGCTCTCTCTCTCCCTCTCCTTTCCCCTCTCTGAAATCAATAAAGATATATTTAAAAAAATAAATAAATAAAAAATAAAGCACTCTCTCATATATCACACACTTAATCATTTAATATGATGGCAATGATAATACTTCTACACCTTCTATTTATTGATTGACTACTTTAGGCTATGGACAGTTCTCAAAGTGTGGTTAGTGGGGTACCAGAAGATCCTTTCAAGGGTCTCATAATACAAAGACATTATTTAACTTTTCCCACTATGTTGACACTTGCACTGATGGTGCAAAAAACAAATGATGCCTTAGAAGGAATCACACGCAGTGGCACCAATCGGTAGTCTTTGTATTCCTCATGGCCATGCATTCAAAGTATCAGTTTCACTTAAGAATGTCCTTCATAAAGCCATTAAAATTATTTATCTAATTGAAAGAATAAGTGACAAACTATGGTTAGTCAGACTTGTGTATTTGATACATTTTCTTGAAAATGAACAAAGTGAGCCCACAACTGATAATATTTGTTGCCAATGATAAAATTGAAGGTTTCAAGTGAAAATTAGGATAGTGGAAATATTGTATCTGCCACTATCAGTTTGAAAGCTCCCAGTTCTTAAAGACTTTTTTGTTTTGAGATGGGTGGTGATATTAACAAATGTAATCTTTTACTATTGTATTACAAATGTCTCAACATTTGGAAGAACTATGTAACTTAGTGAACCAATATTTTTCAAATGACCAGTGCATGATGTTCTATTCAAAGTACAATAAAGACTAATAGATTTTATAGAATATAAAAAGTTCATTAATGTGGTCTCAGATTTCACATTTTAAATAATATTTAGAAACTACTACTTGTTGAGTTTTGGAGAATATCAAAATAAGAATATTCACAATTATTTGAAACTATTAAAATTCTACATATCCGTATAAAGCTAGATTTTCTGCAGATACTTCAACCAAAATAATATATTATAGCAGACTGAATGCAGAAACAGGTATGAGAAGCCAGCCCCATTTTGTTAAGCCAGGCATTAAAGAGATTAGAAAAAATAAAAAGTAATTTGTTACTAATTCTTACTCAATTGTTTAAAAATAAGAAAAAAATCTCAATTTTATTTTCTAGTAAGTATGGATATGTATAACCCATATTTCTTAAAAAGAGTTTTTTGGAGTACTTATTAATTTCACTAGTAGAAAGTGGTATTGAGAGCAAAAAGTCTGAGAATCACTGTTAAGTTATTTTCTTAGTACTCACTCAGGAAAATAAACAGGTTTAGAAAACTAAATTTGCCCCCAACGCTATAGAAAAGGTTAAGTGGCCCCGCCGGGTGTGGCTCAGCGGTTGAGGGTCAACCTAGGATCCAGGCGATTGGGGTTTGATTCCTGGTCAGGGCACATGCCCAGTTGCGGGCTCGATCAATGACTCTCGCATCATTGATGTTTCTCTCTCTCTCTCCCCCTCTCCTTTCCTCTCTCTGAAATCAATAAAAGATATATTTAAAAAAGAAAAGAAAAGGTTAAGTGGTCCAATCTAATTAAAATACTGGCCTGTGGAGTCCGAAACACATGGTAATCCTATTATGTTATGCTATGTGAGGTCTTTTTTTTTGACTCAGCAAGGTTCACTTGGTTATTAGTATTAGTAGACTTATTTTTACTGACAATAAAGTGAAGGGGGAAACCAGTTGTCGTTTCATATTGTTTACCCTTAAAGAATTTCACTTAGTAAAATATGTACTTTTTCCTCTGAAGTGCTCACAATTTAATTCTTCAAGTAGCATTCAGTTATTCTGCTGTCAAACACAAGTAAGGACAATTATGGACAACCAGTTTTAGACTTACTTAATAAAAACTCAACAAACTTACATTGGCGGAACGTTGATGGAGATTGGTTTCCAATCTCTGATTTCTGAATGCTGTCATCTAATGATAGGAGTAATAAAGACTATCAATTTATGTTTTATAACGTATTTCCAACAGAGAAAGCAAATAAAAATTCCACCAAGAGAAAAAAAGATGGAGATCAGCCAGAAACAGAAGAAAAAAGCAGAAGTGCCTATTAGAATGACAGTTCCTTAAGACAGAGACCTATTTCCCTCACAATTACTGACGGCATGTCCAAAGCATACCCTTAATACACTTGCTTTGTGAGAAAGCCTTCAAGTATCTGATCCAAAATATTAAATGGGAGTTGTGAAACTTCTGGGACAAAGTTAGGAAGACCAAGTAAATAGGCACAACTATAATAAAAGGAAACATTTACTGTCTGAAAAACTGACATATATTGAAACTTTTGCCTCATGACGATGCTGTACAGAGGGGGAAAAAGGACAGTATACAGATTACAGGTTATTGAGCTATCTGGATAACGTGTTTTGATGTAAAGCTCCACCTTAACCCTATTTCCTACCACAAACTGATTTAAAGATTTTCTCTGGTGCTTCTGACCACTTCAAAAATCAGTAATTTTTAAATATTACATTGGTTGGGGGGCTGGGTGAAAAAGGTGAAGGGATTAAGAAGTACAAGTTGGCAGTGACAAAATAGTCATGGCATGTAAAGTACAACACAGAGATATAGTCAACGATATCGTAATAACTGTATGGGGCCAGGTGGGTACTAGACTTATGAGGGAATCCCTCATAAGTTATACAAACGTCTAACCACTATGCTCTATACCTGAAACTAATACTATAATTGAAAAATAAAAAAATAAAAAATAAATAAAAATTACACTAAAAAACTTTTCGTCATTTTTGTTAATAGACAAGTAAATCTGTCTTAGGTTTGTAGTTAAACAATAGATTTCAAAAGTAATTTTCTCAAAACTTCATCAAATCTCTACTTCTATCATTACTTTAGAAAACAAATTAAAAACTATCCCAACTCTTTCCTTTTTTCCTCCATCTTCCTTGGCTTGGCCAAAATTTTAACCTCTGAGAGAAAGGTATAGAAGGACAGGGTTCAGAAGGTAGAGAGGCCAAGTTACTCATTCGTATGACCTACATTTACCAATATATAATGTCTATCACTTGTCTGAAGTTACAACTTATAGGTATATATGATCTTTCTGGTAGATCTTCCTGGTGTTCAGCAACAGCTTTCATCTGAGAAACGCTGAACTAAACTGGAGCAATAAAATTAGCCCTGCCAAGATCCAGAAATAGCCTTATTTTTGGTCATATGACAAAATCCCTTAAATGAAACAAAATGACATCAACCTTAACTCTAAAGGTACATTGTTTTACAATTCCCAATTCAGCCTAGGACACTACATCTTTTAGAGGCTTCTAAATTAGGTTACCAAACTTAAAAACGCATAAACATATCCAATAGGTAATGTTTAGCTTGAATACCTCACTCCATGGTTGCAAAGATCAAATGAGATAATATATGAAAATGCTGTGAAGTGCTATAGTACGATGATATTAATAATGAATAGCTAAATAATAGTTATTATGTAACATATTTATAGAACTCATAAAAAGTAACAAAATTAACACAAACAAAATTAAGAAAACAATCCCATTTACAACAGCACTAGAAAGAATAAAATAGGACTAAACTAACTAAGAAGGTGAAGAACTTGTACACTGAAACTGTAAAACACCGATGAAAGGAATTTAAAGCAGACATAAATAAATGGAAAGACATCCCATGTTCATAAATTGAAGAATTAATATTCTTAATATGTCCATACTACCCAAAGTAGACTACAGATTCAGTGCAATCCCTATAAAAATTCCAGTGGCATTTTTTATAGACATAAACTCCAAACAGTCAAAGCAATTCCGAGTAAAAACAAAGCTGGAGGCATCACATTTCCTGATTTCAAAATATATGACAAAGCTAAAGTAATAAAAGCAGCATGGTACTGGCATAAAAACAGACATATAGACCAATGTAAGAGAACAGTCTAAAAATAAACCCATGCAGATATGGCTAACTGATCTTAGAGAAGCGTGCCAGAGAAAGCATAGTCTCCTCAATAAATGGTGTCTGAAAAACTGGATATCCATATGCAAAAGAATAAAACTAGACCTTTATACTATACACAAAAATCAACTCAAAATGGATTAAAAATTTATACATAAGAACTGAAACCATAAAACTCCCAGAAGAAACATAGAGAAAGAACTTCTTGATATTGGCCTTGGCAATGAATTCTTGGATATGGCAACAAAAGCAGAAATAGAACACGAAATTACATCAAACTAAAAAGCATAATAAACCCATATTAACTTAAGACAAAGTAGGAATGCAAACAGATAAAATATAAAAAATTAGGTATCAATTTAGCAAGTAAAAGACCTATTTCTGCCCAGCTGGCGTGGCTCAGTGGTTGAGCATTGACCTATGATTTAGGAGATCGAGGTTTGATTCCAGAGTCAGGGCACATGCCCGGGTTGTGGGCTCGATCCCCAGTAGGGGGCGCACAGGAGGCAGCTGATCAGTGACTTTCTCATCACTGATGTTTCTCTCTACCCTTTCCTCTCACTGAAATCAATAAAGATGTATTTTTTTTAAAAAAGATCTATTTCTACATTCCAATCAGATCCTCAATGTAATCATTTCCCCTTCTACACTGCATTTGCAGTGTCTTATTGGAGGAAATAAAAATCATAAACTTTTTTTTGAGCAACATGTCCACTTTATTATATAGTCTCCTAGTTTTACTTTTATTTTTTTGTACAAATATTTTTGATAATACTGTGTACTATACTTCACTTATCTGGAAGTAATCTGATATTAATTACCCAGAATATATAGTTAAGAACTAAGAAATAACATATACAGTCTGAGCTTTCATAGAACATATACTCAAACTCGTGCATTTTTATTTCCAAGAGCATCTTTCAGATTTTCAAAGTAAGTTTTAATTTTTTATACTGGTTATGAACATAATCCTAATAAGCTGAATAATTAATATTTGGTTTTCTAATTCTGGTAGGACAGGATGAGCAAATTATAAGAGGAAATAGTCTTCTAACAGCAGGTACACACAGCAATAAGAAATGATAGCCAAAAATAAGGCAAGGGCAAAAAGCTAACCCAGCTGAAGGACTCATATATTTGTGGGGTAAAACTTCATTGCTGGGGAAAATGAATTGTGACCATTACTGCTTTATTGATGGAAGAAAAAGCCACAGAGCTTATCTTGTCCAATTAGTCATTTCATGAGCAAGAGATACGTGATGGGGGTTTATATTATCTAAATAAAAGGAAGGGGTTTCCTGAGGACCTTGAGACCTACTTTGATTAGATGAATAAAAAAGGGAGAAGTTAAGGGTCACTTAAGGCATGAATTTTTATTTTATACGGTCAAGGTTTAATATAAACACATTCTTAGAGAAACTATAATGGACTCTGAATTCAAAGTATCATTGCTACATCACATCTAGTTATGGTATTTCTTAAATTCTGTGACATCTAACCCATCCTAAACCTAAACATGAAAATACAATTTGTGGACTTCGGCCTTTATTACTTAAAATAATGAGTATGCAAAGCTGTTTCAAGTTTACTTATATTGCATAAAATTGACAACCTGTCAAGTCTAGACCCATTACCCACTGGTTTGCTCACACCACTATCTGCACTTCATACCTAGTCCATCTCCTGCCAGTCCCAGCAGATAGATATAATTAAACTGGTAATCATAGCTATCCTTGATTAATAAAATCACAAATGACCTTAATGCTTATCTGAAGAACTAATTATTTTTGTATGTTAATACTCAAGAAAAACAGCAAATAAAATTATTTCAATAACACGTAGAGATTTATCAACTTACTTGGCATCCTTGTTCTTGGTTTCATTTCTAACAATTCCCGAGGGTATTTTTGATATCCCGAGGCTATAGCAAATACATATATCAAAATATCATTTAATATACTTTGAAAATGTATAGCATACTCCAGTGTTAAGACAATGTCAAAGGACCACATCGGTGAGATGAACCACTTCCCAGCAAAATAAGTAGCAAATAAATATACAGGGTGAGCAAAAGCAGGTTAATAATGAAAGTAAATATTGCAATAATTAATAAATAATACAAGAATAAACTCACATACTCACAACTATAAATCTACTTTTGCCTATCCTGTCACCTAAGAAACAAAACTTTCTACAAATCCTTTGCTCTGGTCTGTGAGAATGACTGAGTTTAGTAACACCTGAACTTGACTTCAATGTTAACTAAGAAGAAAAAGTTAACCATTTACTCTTGCAAATAAATTACTTTCAGTAAAACTGTCCAGAACACATTTCCACATCACAGAATAACTACCACATATAGTACCAATGTGTGGTGACTTAAATGGCAAAGAAGATAAAATGACTCAAAATTCTATTAGTACTTTTTGTTGGCAGAGTCATAAGGACAGGTTAGGATTGGTTGACTAATAAAGAACCACCAACCACTTACTCGGCATTGAATGTTGCCTATCAAGAGCTGTATAGTCTTGACCTGAAACAGAAAACAGAGGTAAGGTCACAGAATACTTGGAAATAAAAACAATGACGATACTGCACAAATGTTTTGCTTGTTTGCTATAAATACTACAAATCAAAGAAACAAAAACAATAACCTTTCTTTCATCAGTCCCAAACAAATACAATATGTAATTATTTTCCCTTTTCTAAACTTCAAAATGTCCAGGAATTGGATAATTAGTAGTCAGCTTAGGATCAATACCATCAAAGTAACGATGAACCGTATTGAATGTCTACCAGGTGTCAAGTGATTTTACTTAATTCTCACACTTCGTGCGGTGAATACATTATTCCTATTTTACAAATAAGGAAACTTAAATTGATAACTTGCCCAATTATGTATCTCAAAGTAGTAGGGCTGAGACATAAATCCTGGCAATCCACATATAATATTACGTATTATATAAGCAAATTTGTGGACATTGCTGAGCAGTTATGAAATATAAGATGCTACCACGTTTTGGGGTGGTATTTAAGGACAACTGTAAAATGACACAATGGAACTATAAAATGATGCTACAATTCTAACAAGAAAAATTTCCAAATCTGCCCTGAAGAAATGAGTTACTTTTACCCACTGATACAAGTATTGGTGCAAAGGACAATGCTCGACCAACTGAGCCACACTGGCCAGGGCCATGCCTTCTTTGCAACATTTTACATTAAATTTGCAAAAAGAAGATCTTTAAAAATGAGAACATTAACCACACCCACAGGTAGATTTTAAGCTTGTAAAACATGGCTTGACTTACTTCGTGATGACTGCCAAAATGATTCTAGATGTTGATCAGGTGATCTGCTGGTTTGGTCTAAAAAAGAAAAAAGAAATATAGCACAATATAGAGCACATTTAATTTCTTAAATGCACATTTTACAAAGGAAAAAGAAGTAATCTAAAGAGCAAAAATATTCAGATAAACCCCAGGGAATTCAACGTTTGGGTGCATAATTTTAAGTTTCTAAAGAATCAAGGTGTATTCAAATAACTAATTAGCTGTCTTTCCCCTAACTGCTTTTTAAAGGAAAAAAAAAAAAAAGACATAGAACATGGCATAAGGTAAGGGGAAATTTTGAAAGTTTATAATAATGGATCTTCTTGAGATCATTAATATTAACTGTTGCTTTAAATTTCTCTTGCAAGCGGTCAATACACTATTCTGGTAAATATTTTTGATAGTGTATTCCTATTATTAAAATAATTTTGAGCACCGATCTCCAAAACCTATTTCTTTCTAACATCATACACCTATATCCTGAAATAATGTATTAACGAACATGTTGTATACATTACAAAAGAAAAAAAGACATTTTATTTTATTTTTTTAAATATATCTTTATCGATTTCAGAGAGAGGAAAGGAGAGGGAGAGAGAGAGACAGAAACATCAATGATGAGAGAGTCATTGATTGAGCCCACAACCCAGGCATGTGCCCTGACCGGCAATCGAACCCCGATCACCTGGATCCTAGGTCAATGCTCAACCGCCGAGCCATGCCCGGCCGGGCGAAAAAAAGACATTTTAAATAGATGAAATAGAAAAATATACACAGGAAATTGTATTTTCTTCCTCCACTCCAATGTATCTTCTTATACCTCTTCAGTGATAAGTGGCCCCAAAGATAATCTAGGAAGATCAGCATTATTCTTAATATGCCTCATATCTTTGTTCTTTAGCTAGTTTTCTTCTGCACGTGGGTATGTGTGCTTCAGTAAGAATATATTAGAATTCTAAAGGGATCACAGAGCCTGGGTTTATGTAGTTTCAAAGAGCTATATATCCTGGTAGAAATAGCATTAAACTACTGGCTATATGAATGCTTAATTAGTCTCTAATATTTTGAGCTTTATGTATATAGATGAAAACTAGTAACAGCACTTAAGTCTTTACTATGTGCCAGGTACTAAGTGCTTTGCACATATACATTAATTTCTCAAAACCACCCAGAAGAAGTCAAGCAATTGCCTGAAGGCACAAACCTAGTAGTGGAGGAGTGGAACCCAGGGATTCTGGCTCCAGAGCCCATGTTCTTAACCACTATGCTAGTGTGTTGCATATCTACTTTGGGATTTCTGTATCAAGAAAGAATGGGGGAAAATGAGGAAGGATGGGAAATACATAGAATACCAACTGCCCACAGACCGGCTTATGAGCTTATTTTTAAAGTGGAATGATTAAGTAAAACTTAGAAATTAAAGAAATTCTTAAAATGTGGTGAGGGGAGAGTAGAGACAGTCTTCCATGGGACTAAAATATAAAATTACTTATTATTTACAGAGTTTAAATATTGGTACCCTCTTAAGCTACAAATTCACTTTTTTTTCTCTTCGCTTTTTTCCTTGAATGAACTAAAACACAAGTTTATATGAATAATCAGAAAGTGTTATTGCTAACTTGGTGTGAACCTGAACAACCTAGAGATAAAAGTATATTAAAACTTCTGAAAAGCTAACACTCCTGGTAGTATAGTGAGTAAGTACTAATGTCAATGTGATCAGTTTCCCTATCAAATTTTTAAAACTACAAATAACTCTTCTTGTGAACACAAAAATATTGTATTCCATAAATATCAAATCAGGCTAAAAAGTGATTTAATTGTTTAGGTATTACATGACATATTTCTAATCAGATGTATACATGGAATAAAAAAAATTTTTTGTTGTTCAAAATATTACAGATGTCATTTTTTCTCCCCACTGAACCATTCCACCCTGTCCAGAATAAAAAATTTTAATGAATACTTAAAAATATACAACTTAAAGTTTTTTTTTTAAAAAAAAAAGCAAATCCTGCCCAGCCAGGCGTGGCTCAGAAGTCGAGCATCAACCCATGATCCAGGTGATCACAGTTCAGTTCCCGGTCAGGGCACATGCCTGGGTTGCGGGCTTGATCCCCAGTCGGGAGAGTGCAGGAGGCAGCCGATCAATGATGATTCTCTCATCATTGATGTTTCTCTCTCTCTCTCTCTCTCCCCCTCTCCCTTCCTCTCTCTGAAATCAATAAAGATATATTAAAAAAAAAAAAAGCAAATCCACAAAATACCTTTATATTTTAACTTAAAATACAGCTCCTAAGATAAGCGTCCTATGTGCAAAAAGCAGTTATTACCTCTAAAGTAAACAGACTCCCCGGATGAGAACTTAACATCAGTAGCAGTACTGTCCCCGCTGTCGTGATCATGTTCTTCAATGTCCTCTAAAAAGAAATAAAGGATACACTAGTATAGTCTTTACCCTAATGCTCTAAAGATCTGGATTAAAAAACAAAAACAAGCATTCAACATTAAAATGAAATCTTTTTAATGATCTGATATAGAATTGCTCTTTATTATGTTTACTATTCTGAGTCACAATGTTTTAAATAAGCTAAAATTGAGTTAAATGCATAAAGGCTATCAGCACTCATTCTGTACTATTTTACCTGCCCATATGACAGTTCAGATAAGCATGATTCTTTTTTCCTAAAGAGAAAGACACTATCTTCTGCTCTCACTCATAAATATCTCTCAAAATTGCTGATAACATTAACAAAAAAAGATTAAGAATATACTGTATAACATTTTAAAAGATAATACCTTCTTCAGAGTAATTGACTTTCTGTTGGACACTGGTGGCTTCTAGAAGAGAAAAGCATACATGTACATAACATCAAAAGCCAAAGCTCAGTAATAAATAAAGAGCATCTAAATTAAGGAAAGTGAACATAAAGACACACTAAACTACTTTTAGTTGTTGTTAAATCAAAAAAGAGTCTCTTATTTCCCTCTAGAAAAGCAGAAAGTTTGTTTTTCCTTCACCCGCAGGTCTATTTGTACCCTAAAATGTAACCTGTGTTTGCAGACATTAAGTTCTATGATGATAAATATTCCAGTCCCTATAGGAGCTACTTTTCAAAAAACCTTGTCTGTTATCTGATTCCCATAAAGTCATAAGGGAATACACTTTTTTGGTGAAGGTTCAACAATATTCAGTGACTTGTCTAAGGGTGTCAAGATAAAAAGGGATTTGAACACTGGCTCTTCTGATTTCCAGTCTACCACCCTTTTTCCACTCCATCAGTCTGTTCATAATGGCACACTGTAAGCACCCAATAATCATTTTTCATTGAAGACTACTTTGTATAGTAGTTTAAGGTTCACAGCAAAATTGAGTGGAAAGATTTCCCATGATTACTGTATACTGCAAGGATCATTTTCAGTATCTAGAAGCTATAAATCCTGAAGTCTCTAAAAAAATTAGACTCATCTTAAGTGAAAGATAAATTTAAAAGAAGCTGCAACTATTTATAAAGAAAAATGAAGCTTCTCTCCTTTTGACTTATCTCCATATTTAGAAAAGAACTGTAACTTAAAACTAAGTCTGACCACAATTAATGTAGATTCTTGAAGCCACAGATCTTGGTATCTCATATCCTATACAGAAAAAAAAAACCACTGAAAAGAATTTAAACCAGGCCAACAAACATGGCAAAGGACACTGAACTTACTATGAATCTCAAAGTCACCTTCTAAATCAAGAAAAAAACCTTGATGAGTAAGTTGATATCTCCTTTCTCTCAATAGTATGAATTTAACAAAGGCTAATTAAAACCAAAATGTATTTGTTCTTACATGAATTTTAACAATAGTATAACAAAATACATATTTTCAAATGGAACAACCACCAAGGCTATTAAGAAAGGTCTTGGTCATAGGGACGGTGCCCTACGCACAGAGATCATGAACAAAGTAATATTCTCAAGCCAGTGACCAAAAATGTGTACTCCTGTATTCTACTGGTAATCAGAATCCTTAAGAAGAACCTAGAAAAATTAGAAATTAACAAACCTAATTCACTCATTTCAGTATTTCCATTGGTTATGTATGCTGAATCTGCAAGAGAGATTGCAAGAAAATGATTAGAGCTTAAAAGGAAATGCATCATGATTCTTTACCACAGGTTCATCATCAAAACCATAACAGATCTTTATCATTATAATACTTGATAGTCATAAAAAAAAAAATTAACCTAGTTTTTTCTTATAGAACATGACTGAGGAATAGAAACCTAACGTGAAGATAAATAAGCTTCCTTTTCAATTCGCAAAATAAAGCATCCTTATGGGCCAAAAAACTCATGACCTTACTAGTTTTCTTTCATAGTCATAAAATCAACTTAAAGGTAACACTCTTTCAAGGTATTAGTCAAAAAGAAATGTAATGGAGCCACAAAGCCTCAGTCTTGAATTTTTTATTAGCTTTATACTGGAGGAATAAAAAGTCCCTGACCCTGGTTTGAAATCATCGTAACAAAAAGAATCATAGCAACATATAAGAAACATCTCTTAATGTCACAATATATGTTAAATGAAAATAAAAACAAACATGATGGAGGTGCAAAAAAAGTATTTATTGGGCTAAAATTGTGTTGAAAAAAGGAGAAAAGATCATTTAGACATGAATTTTCTTATATCTCCATAAAATATTTCTGAAGAATACCTAGGAAACTGACAACATTGGTTGCCTCTGATGAGAATAGTAAAGGCTAGAGGGAGCAGGGTGACTTTTCATTGTATATTTATAGTACTTTTGAATTTTGAACCATATGAATACATGTGCTACCCTATTAAAAAAACTGTATTTATAAAAACGTTAAACCAACAGACAAAATCATCTCTTACCGTATCTTGGACTTCTTAGAGGGGCTCTAAGCAGGCTGGATAAAGGATCTTCACTCATCACTAATATGGTGGGGGGGGAGACACATATAAAAATATATAAAATAAAATACCCAACATACTAGACTTATTATACAATCATCTATTCATTCAACAAAGGTTTTCCTGAGTTTTCCACTGTGTTAAGTATAAGGATACATTAGTGAACTAGAGACAAGTTTCGAGCCATAAAAAAATTTATGGACTTGATGGAAGTACTTAATTTTTTTCAGCAGACCGTATTTGTATAAAAGGAAAGGAATACCAAATAAAACTCTCCTAAATTTCTCGGTTAGGAACCAGAATCAGATGTTGTATACCTCAAATTAATATAATATTGTCCAGTGTAGTTGAAAAAATGTAAAAAAAAATTTTTTTTAAGAAAGAACCAAATTCCATTTGTTGCATACCCTCACTGTGGATTATGTATGGCATACTTTAATTTCAGGGCTAACTTCCTGAAAGTTAATATATTTCCTCCAAGAATGCAAATTCTTGTTTTAAATAAAATGTTGGTATTAGCCAGGGTTTGTGTCAGACTATGGTTCAATGGCATAGGATCAATGGGAAAGTTCATCTCATTGGATAAAATGTTAATGTAAGCCTAGAAATCCAAGGTGTGTTTTGTCAAAGAACCTCACATAACAATCTAAACCCCAATATGTATCTAAATTTGGACGATGTTTTATTTCATTTGTCTCTATAAAAAGGCATTATGTTTGGCTCTGTATGAGAACTGCAAAACCCACTGAACTAGCACCAGCCCCCCTCCATTACACTGAATGCCTTTGTTTTTATAAAACTAATTTAACCCATATGCTCCCTGCTCCCACACCTGCATAGTCTCTCCATCATCAACATCCCCACCAGAATGGTACATTTGTTACAACTGATGAATCTACATTAACAAATCACAGTCACCCAAAGACCCTAATTTACAAGGGTTCGCTCTTGGTGGTGTAGATTCTATGCATTTAGACAAGTGTATAATGACAGATATCCATCACTATGGTACCACAGAGTATTTTCACTGCCCCAAAAATCCTGTGCTTCACCTATTCATCTCTTTCCCACCTCCCCAAACCCTTGGCAACCACTGATCTTTTTACCATCTTGATAGCTTTGCCTTTCCTGAAATATTACATAGTTGGAATCATACAGTGTGTATCCTTTTCAGATTGGTGTCTTTCCCTTAACAACATGCAATTAAGGTTCCTCCATGTCCTTCCAGGTAATCTATGCATGGGCTCCATTAATTTGCCATCTATATTGAGAAACGTGGTTTGTGTTTTTTTCTATTTCCAATTCTAACATAAGTTTCTTGTGGAAAAGAAATGCTTAAGCAAAATTTTATGAACTTCACATATTCTGTAAAGTGCCATGAGAAGGAAAAAACCTTCTATCTGTTTTATTGTGTACAAAGTGACTTTGCATGTACTATATCATTTCTACAGTGACCTTGTGAGTTAGGCATGGTAAATCCTATAGATAAAAGCCTGAAGCTCAGGGTGGATAAGTAACTCAACCAAGATCCAGTGTTCTTTCTATACATTATGCAGCCATGTACCTCATTCTCAATCCTTAAATACAGGCCTAAGGTGAACTCTAAAAGACTGTTCAAGACATTCTATTATATAATAAGTTTTATAATGGTCTGGAGGCTGGCACTCAACAGTCTTCCGTATATCAATTCAATTAACTTTGTAATTTTTATAAATTTACTCTAATTTTTTAAAATGAGAAAATTTTGCTTCTCCAGGTTTAAGGGACATTCAATTAAATCTACTGTAAATACAATTCTAAGAATATGCTTTTTCCAAATGGCCTGGAAAGTCTGATTATAGCACTGATTGGTTGCTCAAAGCATTTTTCTAAGGTAGTTTATAATCTTAACACAGTAACATAGGCTGTTCAAGGAATTAAGCATAAAGGGAACTGAACTTGAACCAGGTACACTTTATTCTGAACTGAGAATAGAACAGTTTAACCTACAAAGCATGAGTTTCTTAAAAGCAAGGGATAAGGAGATGAGTCAGGATTTGGGTTTAAAAAATCCAGGGATGATCAGTTTTAATAGCTATGTGTTAATATTTAAAAAAGTAAACAGAAAATAAATGGAACTAAAACAAAAGATACTAAGCATTCATAACTGAAGTTAATCCTTTCCCCTGCTTTTCAAAATAGTTTTTAAAACTTAAGTAGATTATCACAGGTAGCCTACTTCCAGTACATTGATACTAAGATGCAAATATTTTTATACTTTAACATCTCTGAAATTGGGATGCATCACACAATCTGTGGCATGTTACAGTTTAATAGCAGTATTTCTTTTTTCTAGGTGGTACATAAAACAATGACAGATGATACTTTAGACTTGATGAAATGTAGTATCAAATGGACAAGACTGACCACATTGTGCCATGATTTTACTATGCAGATTACTTAATCCATCCATTTTAAATGAAAGGTAGGTAAGGTGGTTTACTCATTTGTAGTACTGGGTAGCTAATTATTACATGGGAGAGTGACAGTGAGGTACTTGGGGAATATGAAAGGGCTCTGTGACAGTATAAGTTATGTGACAAATAGTTATATGACTGAGTTAACATATAAGAAGTGGCTGGTACTTAGCAGGTACTCAAATATGTACCCCGTCTTTTCTCGACACATTGCTTAATTCAATAACTAACCTATTCAGAAGATTCACTTAAACTGAATGAAGTATGATTTGGAACCCTTGATGAAAAGTTGCCAGGTAAGGAAAAAACCAAAATCACTCTTCTCACCTGAAGTCTCTTCTGTTCTCCTGATAGTTCTCTTTGAGACTGTTCGGCTTAAAACAGTTTGTGGAGATGGTTCTTCCTCTAAATAATAGATATGACAATTGTCAAAATTCAGAATATGTGATTTGGGTAAAGATTATGCATATTAACAGCAATATATGAGCAGAAATGCAAGTAATTCATTTCTTTAGAAATGTGAATTGGGTTTACCAAAACTTACAAATTTAACTAGTCAGAACTACTCTCAAGACAATTAAAAAACTAAACTATGCCCCACTGATGCTTTACCACAAAAGTATATTACTTTATAGAATTTAAAAGCTGGGCTACACCAGCAATTTTCAACCTGTGTGCCACAAGAATTTTTAAAACATGCACAACCTGACTACTTAAGTCAGTGCCACTGACTTCTTTTCCCTTAGACTGTCAAATAAAAAAATGACAACAGCCAACACAATAGCCATCTGGTGTGAATAAATTAAAACCATACCTTTTTGGGTTTTGGCCAGATCAACAAAAAATATTTTTTTGGTGTGCACAAAATTTTAGTAGTCTGAGTGTGCCAAGAGATGAAAAAGGTTGAAAATCACTGGGCTAGAGTGTTATAAATGATGTGGCAGAAAGCAGAAGAGTGAAAAATGCTTAGGTCCTTATAGATGTACTAATACAGAAGCATATCCTCTATGTGCTAAAAATTAACTTACATAATTGCATTAGGCTCTGTGGAAGAGTCAACACAATTTAACATATGTATTGTTAAATATGTGCAAAGCATTCTTTCAGATATTGAAGGAAATACAGAATATAAGTATTGAAGTATAACATACGATATACTTCAAATATATATGATAGGATATTTGTCTTCAGGACCATACAGGGTGGGGCAAAAGTTAAGTTTACAGTTGTAAGTACAAAAACACAGTTAATTCTTGTATTATTATTTATTAATTATTGTGGGGGTTTTGTTTTTTAAAAATATATATTGATTTCAGAGAGGAGAGGGGCAAGAGAGATAGAAACGTCAATGATGAGAGAGTCGTCATTGATTGGCTGCCTCCTGCACATCCCCTGACCTGGGATGGAGCTGGCAACAGGCAGGGCATGGGCCCTGACCAGGAATCCAACCACGATCTCCTGGATCCTAGGATCTCCTGGATCTTAGGCCTATGCTCAACCGCTAAGCCACGCCATTCAGGACTATTTATTAATTACTGCATTCTTTTCCATACAAACTGTCTTGAGTGACTACACCCTATAGTAACTTACATATTTTTAACACTAAAGTTTCCAAAATCAACACATCTTCAAATGTATCAGCACTTCATGTACCATCAGGTAAACGTGCAGCCTATTATTCTGCTCTAAGGTGAAAATCCACGCCTCTTCCTAGCTATCAATGGTCTATGTAACCCCACTGTGATTCAAACCCCCTGCTTCTTACCTCATGTGTCTTACATGGGCTAACATGAGACATCACATGTGACTGTTAGATGGGGGCTCAGGGGTAAGGACAGGATGGATTAAGGGGGCGGTCTCACCTGTGACTCACGTAAAACTATACACTCACTTTGTCAGCATCCTTCGGCCATTTAAGGATGAAAACTAATTAAGAATATTGCTTTGTCGAGCCGCTACTTAAGTACCGAGATTACACTGAGGGCCCCCGGAGATTTTTTGGCGCAGCCAGCCAGAGTCGAGAAAGAGCCATCAGCTCAAGTCTATCAGACACCGGGGGGCTTCAAGTTCAAGATAACTGGCTCACCCCATCTCGGTGTATTTGGGTGGCGACTCAAGTCAATTCAACTACGCTACCCTGCGGAATGCCCACTCACAAATTTCCTCCCTCTTTACCCTCGTGGATAGTGATGGGAAAAGACTGGAAGGCTGGATTAGCAGCACAGTTCGCAGGTGGGGACTGTGGCCTCTGAGAATACGAAGAGGAACTAGAAGTGGCTTTAGGAGAAACAGGCGCAGGACAGAGAAAACCGAAACCGAGACGGGAGCGTTCCCTCGCGAAGGCCTGAAGAAAGAGGCAGTCCTGACACCCCTAAACCGATGCCCAAGAATGCACAGAGCTCCCCGGCTCTGCTCACCGCTCTGCACGACCAGTGACTGCCTTTCCGTTCCTCCCGCCTGCGACCGGGGTGGACGCGGCGAGCGGACGCACTCCCGCCGGGGCGGAGGAGGCAACAGCCCGGGCGGGGGTGAGCTCGGCGGGGGTGAGCTCGGCGGGGATGCCCGCCCGCGCGCCCCTTTCGCTCCCGGACTTGCGGGACTGTTACCTTCGTCCGTCTCACCTTCAGAGGAATAAGGGTCCTGTAATCCTCTCCGGGTCATAACGGGGGACGACCGTAGCGGACGCTTCTGTGAGTGCTCCTGCCGGCGGCGCGCAGTCTCTCGCGTCTCCATCTCCCCGGTTTCCTGGAGTCGCGGATGTCCCCGCCGCCGAGGCCGAAGGTAGTAGGCGCTTTCTTTTCCTTTCTCTTTCGCTGAATGGGGCCGGAACTCTTCTGGCTGGTTTCGTTTTGCCAGCGGGGATTTATCTTTGGCCACCGGGGGCTCGGAGTCGCCGTACACTTCCGGCGGCTCTTCCGAAAACCTCACTTCCCGCCGGGGGTGGTGCGACGGCGAAGGAGTTCCGTGCGCAGGCGCGTCGCTGCCGCCGCCATTTTGAGGGGCGAGCCGGCGCCTTCCGTCTCG